TGAATATCAGCCTATACTACAAAAAATTAAGTAAAAAATTATTTCAAAACTATATTATTTTAATAAAATACAATGAAAAAAATTAAAATAATCTTATCCTTACTTTAACAATTAAAATATTTTAGTATTTTTCAATGAAATTTTATAAAATCAATTTGATTTTAGTGTATCTTTAATTATTAAAATTAAAATAAATTTATAATACTAAGTAATATTATAATCATACCATTATTAAAATTGAAATAAATAGAAAAACCAGAAATAATGAAGACTGAGGTTAGAGCAGCTTCAACGCATCATTATCAAAATTGAGATGCATATGGCAAAAGCAGCAATAATGAAGACTTTAGACCAGCTCCACCTCCACGCCTCCAACGCTGGTCTTCCCACATGAGTCTCAACTGAAACGTGAACCACGATGGGGAGAGAGACAGAGAGCAGAGACTGCCTCATGCCTTGGGGACCGCTCGGTCCCTACAATCTTTCTATTTCAAATTCGTTGATGGAAATTAAAATATGTTACGCAAGTAGATTACAGGCAAAGGCAATATCTGAATTTCTCTAGTTCATGTGGACCTTTCGATGCACATTTCTGGACACCATTACATCATCCGGAAAAAGATGTTTTTCGGATCAATTTTTGTATATCTCTCAAAATTAATTCATCTTTAAATAATTTTAAGAATATACTCTTATATCAGTTCGGTATATTTAATAAATTAATTTCTTTAAGTATTATTCTAAAACTTGAATTATAAATTTTATTTATAAAAAAATATTTATTTATTAGTGAGTTTAACTCTTATAATTAGTAATTAATTTTAATTTTGAAGATCTCATATTTCTATACTGCAACATATAAGCTTCCACTGAGAATGCTTTGTAGTGCTTTGGCTTTCGTTCCGGGGGGGCGGGGTTGATTAAAATAATTATATATAATGGTATATGTTAAAATAAATTAAAGAAAATTAGGATATTTTGACAATTAAAATATTAGAGTTAATAATAAAAAATTATAATACTATTAATAAATTAATATATAAAAAAGATTCATAAAATAAATAATTTCATAAAGAATTCTAGTATTAAAAGTGCTAGATATCCTAATTTTCAATTTTTTTATATTAAAATATACTTTATATATTTTCAAGACATTAAAAAATCAAAAATTAGAAGTACTCGAAAAATGTGGGACTTAAAACAAAGGAGCATTCTCCATGGGATTCAGCATGTAATATTGAGTCAGATAACCAGGTTCTGATTTCATGCATCAAACATTCTGATAAACCTGTGCCATGGGATACTGTTATTTTGTGTAGTAGACAGTTATGGAAAGACGACCATCTTGGTTTTATTTTCTCCTTTGTTTCACGAGAGGGTAACAAATTAAAATTAAGTGGCAGATTGGATGGCTAGATCAGCACTTAAAGGGAAATGCCCCTCATACTGGGCACACAAGCCTCCTAGTTCGCTACTGTCATTACTTATAATGGATGGTCCATCTATGGAAAGTATCCTGTACCTTACATATACATATATAAATTTCATCTTTCCTCAAAAAGAAAGAGTATTCTCCATGTATTGAAAATTTTTGAGAAATCTGCTAAAATATCTAAAAAATGGAAAATTATGTTTATCCCTCCAACGTCTAAAAGTATGTAAATTTCAAAACTTCACAAATATTGTAATTAAGCCTTCAAAAAAATTGTATATTTTACTTTCACTACCCCAAATTAGGATTTAATTATAAAAGTTAAAAAATTTGGAAGTCCAATTCAATAAAAAAATATCACCCGGCCAACATTCAAAAATGTGTAAAATCTGAGGGCTTTGGCTAACGTTTTTCCAAATGGACAACCCGAACCCGATTCTTTTTCCGGGTCCTTTAACTTCCACCCAGCGTGAAATGAGAAACCCGAGAAGACCCAACGCCGACTCCCAACGGTTTTCTCAGAAAAAAAAAAAAAAAAAAACTCCCAACGGTTTCAGTTGCTGTCCCCGGCGAG